ATAAACAAACATAGTTGGTAGGGGGGGGGGGGCGCCTACTACTACTACTACTACTACTACTCCTACTACTACTACTACTACTACTAGTACTAGATTTCTTATTATTATGATTGTTTATATTTGTATGTTTTTGTATGTTTTCATTTTAAAACGGCTGCAATCTTCCAAGTTCCGGGACCCAATGCAAGTGATTGAAGCTTTCAATTAAGCTCCGAAACTTTTGCATCACTACAAGCAAAAACGCAAATTCGGGGCATCACTTGTACGGCTAGTAGTTCTTGTAATTTTTGGACTAGAGCATACAAGCTCTAACTGTTGACATCCCAAACTTACAAAATGCATGCGCCACACCCAGAGTTGTGAACGTGTTCAGAGTTTCGGAAAATTCTAGCCTAACTAGGGCACCCACGAATTCATAATGAAGAGCTTTGGTCAGTAATCTGCAGGTTCTCGATGCCTTGAAGTCCTGACATGTTGGTAGCGTTGTATTTAGGAATGCTACAGCCCCCAATATAGAGGAAGATTATATTCCAATTTGGGTATAGTATTTCATGTACAAACTACAATCTTATTGGTTCAGGTAAACGCTACGCCATTCTAGGCTTTTCAGGACCGCTTGTGCGTATAAAGCTTGTCTCAGGGTGAAGCCGAGGCTTAGAGAGATGTTGGTTCAAACCCTAAACCTTGAAACCCAAAACCTAAACCCTAAAACCTAAAACCCAAATCCTACACCCACCCGACCGGAGAGGGGGTTACGGTCAAATGGTGACAGTTCAACGAAAGTGCCCAACAGCAAACACACCAAACCACGTCAATGACGGAAAAAAACACCACAAGGACCAAACACATCAACAAACGGAAGCCAACTTTACCTGAGAGCTACATGGCTGGATTTTCCAGGTAATTAGCATTATCTATGTTTTCCCGGTTTTGCGGCTGAACAGGCATGATTCCAAAATAGCCAGGGTTTATTTTCCTTTGTGGTCATGAAAATCATAAGCCCACGCTCTAGAAGTTCTCACTTTCTTCAGAACATCCCGTTTACGGCTGCAGAAAGATGCTGCAAGCTTGAAGGTGCTACTGTTGATGCAAAAACCCTGCATGACCTTAATATACTATAGTACCATAAATCCCAAGGTATAAGGTACCTAGAGTCATGCAGGATGTTTCGTATTCACCGTTCCCTAGACCTCGAAGGGCTTTAGGCAGGTGTGTTCTTAGGCGCCGCAGCAGCAGCCTGCGTGCTTTCTTTCATGTGGGTATCCCAAACTCCGATAGACCCAAAACCCTAAACTCACGCGTTGTTAGTAGGGAATAAATGGGGGAATTCAATCCCCAAAGAATCCCTATAGGGATTACATTCCTCTATTCCCTACGAACCTCCAGTAAGTAAACCCCAAACCCTCAACCCTAAACCCTAAACCCTCAACCCTAAACGGACAGCTTGCAGGCGGTCCTGCGGATACGTCTTTCTTGACTTCCGCCATCCAACGGACGTGCTGAGGCCATTCATCCCTTCAGTTAGTTTGGGGTTTAGGGTGTAGGGGTTTAGGGTTTAGGGGTTTAGGAGTTTAGGGGTTTAGGGGTTTAGGGGTTTAGGGGTTTAGGGGTTTAGGGTTTAGGGTTCTGAAGTGCATGCGGCAAATCAAGAAAGCACTTAACTCTTCAAGACTCGACACATGTGTGTATTCTTTGCCAAGTGGCGACTTTCGAGACTGCCAGTCTTGCCCTTTCCATCGGTTTGAACTCCCAGCTTCATCCGTGGAGGTTAGTAGGGAAGAAGGGAATATGATATATAGAGGATCTGTAGGGGTTGCATTCCAAGATCCAGAAAGTTAAAGAGGAGTGGAAAAGACAAAGGAAGCCATTCTGAAGTGTAAGAGCTTATGAATGGATAGAGGTATTGCAATATGCGATTGCAGTTGTCCACTTCCCCACTCCCCACTTAAGCGCATGTAAGGTTGGATGAACAGTAATTAGTTCCAGTGAAAGACGATTTTTTAATTGCAATGGTCTGCTGTTCCAGAGCATGGGAACTATAACCAATTTTCTGAACGTGTAGAGAGATGCCCTATGGCCATACAGAAATGCCAAACCTCTACCCTAAACCCTTAAACCCCTAAGCCCCTAAATCTCTAAACCCTAAACCCTAAATAGTAGTTTCCATTGCATTTTCCATTATCCGTATATAAACCCTGAAAGTTTTACCCTAAATCGCTAAACCCTTAAACCCTAAACCGTTCTCGTCATCAGGTTCAAGAGTAAGCTGAAGAAGATCGGAATGGGCATTGGAGCTGGCAGGTCTGCCGTCTCCTCTCCTTGGGGGGTTTCTCCAAAGCGGTTTAGGGTTTAGGGTGCTTATTCTTACGTACAGGTCATTAGTAGGGAATAAGGGAATATATAATCCCTGTATAATGTGGTCCCTTATTCCCTACAAAGCCTCAGGAAGCTTTTGAGCACCTCTAACAGCAACGAGATGAGATCTGGGCTTGCAATGGGTCTCCCTGTTTCTAAGTGGTAGCCTAGTAGAGGCTCCTCGCCAAGGAGCCGACCATTACCCAACCTGTGAAACCCTCCGATGATAGGAATTGGATTTGTTTACCACAGATTTCGCGCAAATTGTGCAGTCTTATCAGATATAAGTCTCCAAAAGCTATAGTCCCCCTTAAGTAGATAGAATATGCCTTTGGGTACATTATAATAAGATCCCCATATATACCATATTCTATCTACTTAAGGGGAACTATATCCCTGCCTTCGTCGCAGGAGTGGTCGCAAACTTCATGTACACTTTGCGCACATGCAGGTGCCAACGGGCATTCTTGCAAACGTGCTCATGGGTCAGCAGAACCGCGGAATGCTAAATGTCCTATTCTGCTTGATTTTTCGCTTCTGCATTTGAGTCAGCTTTTCTTGTGCAGTCCTGCTTACGTTTTCTGTTACTTCTAGTAGTATTCATAGTATTATTACTATTAGTATTCTTGTTACTAGTATCATTGCTCCTAGTATTAAAGCCCCAAACCCTAAACCCGAAATCCCTAAATGATTATTGTAATCATTAGTTGATGCTGTCCCTAAACCCTAAACCCTAAACCCCTAAACCCCTAAACCCCTAAACCCCTAAACCCCTAAACCCCTAAACCCCTAAACCCCTAAATCCCTAAATGATGATTGTTATCATTAGTTGATGCTGTCTCTAAACCCTAAACTGGGTTGCTGTTAAGGAACTTAAATTAAGTTGCCATAATGGGTATATTTAGTAAATAATAGGGTTTCCCTAATATACTAGCTCAATTTAAGTTCCTTATCAGCAACCCAGTAAACCCTAAACCCTAAACCCTGTGATCACGGACTTGTGACAGGGATGGAAGGAGCTCCTCGAGCGCTACAGCGAACCCGAGCAGCATGGCAGCATCTGTGAAATGCAGGGTTTAGGGCTTAGGGCTTAGGGCTTAGGGTTTAGGGTTTTGGGGTTTAGGGTTTTGGGGTTTAGGGTTTAGGGTTTGGTTTAGGCTTTGGGGTCTACTTGGAGGTCCATGGGACCGAGTAACTACTCATAGCTGGGTTTAGGGTTAAGGGACCTAACTACTCATAGCTGGACTTATGACCCTACGTATACTTGTAGGGTCAGGGGGACGTAGTAAGTAGGTTAATAATCCCTATAACCCATACAGTAACCCCAATGATCCCCATTATTAATCTAGTTGCTACATCCCTCTGACCCTCCATGTAATCCCTCTAAACGGCCTTATTGGGTGCTAAGCCTGTAGGTTTCTTTGCAAGTAGTTCAGATCCACGACAACAGAGGCGCTGGACATCTCATGACGACGCCTAATGCTAATAGTAACAGTAATTATATCAGTAATACTTATACGAGCAATAGGAATGATAGCAGCAACAATAATAATACTAATAGTAGCACTAGTAATCATAGTACCGATATCAATAGTAGTAGTAGTAGTAGTAGTAGTAGTAGTAGCTCAGATATGAAGCCTGGGCAGGTACCTATTTCATCCCGATGCCAACGAGCGCCCACAGCTCTTCTTCCGCCGTCGCTTGAGGGCGTCAGAGCCCAGCTTCGAAGATCTTCTGCCACCGGCTCCGAGGGCAGAGTTCTGGTGGGTCCCTACTTCAGACAGTCCACCACGATCACATGTTGCCCCGTAGTGGTCGGCAAGTTTCTCGTGAAGCGATGAGTGCTTTGACGGCACCACTCTCGAATTCCTTTGAGATCAGCAGGCAGCAGCTAGGATTCCGCGAATCAATGCTTGCTGCCCCTACGGCACCCTCCATAGGTCCAAATTGCAAAATCTGCTGTGGGGACCGCAGAGCACAGACAGGGAGTGTCAAACATTCCCTTTTTGAGCTGGCTGTTCCAACACGAGCAGTCTTCACGACGTTTAAAGCTGGGCAGCAGAGACACAAGTCGATTGCAATTAGCTTGCTTAGCTTCTTTAGCCGTCCTCCAGAGGGATGGATCAGTTCACTATAATCCCCATATAATATCTTCCCTTGTTCCCTAAACCCCTAAACGGCCCTAGACCCTCAACTCTAAACCCCTGAACCTCAAACCCTAAACCCTAAACCCCAGCAAGCTACAGAAGCACATCTGTGGACAACGGAGAACTGTTGCCCAGCGGTTCGTCCTGATCAGCTCCGCTCTTTGGGATGCAAGTAAGTTCATTGTTGTAGCATATTGCAGCAATCTACTTACTGGTGCTGAAGGGGGGATTGGGGGAGTCAAAATAGGCATCATTATAGATGTATATATAGGAATTAGTATTGGGATCCACTCCCCCACCCCTTTAAGGACCAGATAGTCTATGGATGGCCGTGTCATACTGCAGTGCACAAGTGAAAGTATCAATCGGAGTTGATTCAAAGCACCTGGTCGTTTCGACCCTCATTTGTGAACCTGTACAGATCAGACAACGAAGCCGCGCACCCATTGGACGTCAATGGTGACAGACAAATTCGTAGCACCAGCATCCCTGCAGATCACAGCCCGGCGAAGCTGCTATTGCGAAGGGTTCGTAGATTGTGAATAGCGCATGATTGGTGGCAGCAATCTTTCTTCGACAGATCGAAGTGTGCATTCTGCACTGGCGGATAGGTTGCGTGCTGGACACATGAATGCTGACCAAACAACTCATCAGAGAGATAACTTGAGCTCGAACATGAACAGCACTGGAGGAGTTGCATGGTCAGAGTTGTGGGTCTCAGATCTGCGCACATTGTCACAGACATCTGCCGCGACATGCTACAGCCAAGTCAAGTCATGAATGCAATGCGGGAAGATGCAGCACTCTACTGTACTGCCTGCATGTAGAGCACTTCTCCCTTCTACAGTCAGGTGCTCTAAACTCTAAACCCCTAAACCCTAAACCCTAAACCCTACCGCCAAATCGGTGTTTCATTTGCATGCACTTCCCAGCCAGCTGTCAAGATGCAGCATGCATTTGAACCTTCTGTTGATGGAGATCTGTGTCATGCCAAGCCCGATGAGTCAACTTCTTGATGTTACAAGCGCTCGTAGCAGCATGCGGATATGATTGTGGGCCTGAGAACTTCCTGGTGCTTAAGGGAGAGTGGAGGAGTGGAGCTTACAATAACCCCTATATAACCTCCATATAATATACCCCTTATCATGATACCTATACTCACTCACTCACCCACTCTGCCTTAAGCACCGGTAAGATTAGGGACGGGAGTTGACTTTTGGGGTTGCTCTGAAAAAGGGCAAGCGGGTGAAACCCGCGGCGTGTAGACAGCTTGGATGCGCACTTTCAACCTCTGCTAATAAAAGCTGGCGCTGATCTCTTTTTGAGGACGAACAAGTTCCTTTAGATAGAATATATCATAATGATTTATGTTATACTATATTTTACGCCAATATATTATATTAGAGTGGAATACAATTTACTATACAGCAGGTGCAGTACGGGAAGGGGTGTTCAATGGGGATAGCCTTGCCAAACGATTATTTGCAGTATTTTCCCTCCGGCTCGGTGTCGGTTCCCTCTTTTTTTTCGCATGCACATATAAATATGTGCATGCTTTTCACATAAACAAATGAATACATGTATATATATATATATGTCTACTTTTTTCATTTATCTCTGCACGTCCCATACCAGGGCTTGGGGTTTATGTTCGCATGCCCAGGTGACGATCCGCTTCCATCGGATTGCCCACCGCTTGGCGTGTCAAAGGTTGGCGGAAGGCTTGCCCGATTGGAGGGACGGGTGACAACCCTAAACCCTAAACGTAAATGTGGGACTTGTTCCAAAGGCCGCGGCCCTAGGCATCCGAGGGAGACAAGGGGATTACCGGGGAGCCTATTCGGGAATCTCCGGGGAACAGGATAGAGGAATCTCCAGACATATAGATATATACGTGTATATATGTATGAATGTATATATGTGCTACATGTAGGAATGCAAGTGCGGAAAAGCGATGAGATAATATGAAGGTGTTGTATTATCGAGTGTTTAAGCACTTTATATGTATATATCATTTATATATATATATATTCTCTCTCTCTCTCTCTCTCTCTCTCTGTCTCTCTCTCTCTCTCTCTCTCTCTCTCTCTTTCTCTCTCTCGAGAAGCAGGGCAGAATCTAGATCAGTGTCAGGCTGTCCTGGATCATTTCTCTGCATGGCCTCTCTTGTAGTGGTCGTGGATCACACACTGGTGCTTTGATTTTCTGAGGGTAACATGGGCGCTTTAGTCCTTGGATGTGATTTGGGATTCCAAGTATTTTCCAATGATTGTGGAATTGTAGGTATGCATTGGGATAATCTTAGGGTTATATTGGGGTTATATTGGGATAATGAAAAAGAAAATGGAAGTTACTATAAGGGATTAGAGTGTGGCTGCAGAGAGGATGGCCGCCAGGAGGTGGGTGAGTGGTCCGTTGAATCAAGGACTGCTTCCTTTGACCTTCTCCATTGGCCCTAAACCCTAAAACCCTAAACCCTTAAACCCTAAACTCTAAACCCTTAAACCCTAAACCCTAAACCCTAAACCCTTAAACCCTAAACCCTAAACCCCAAACCCTAAACTCTGTAGCAGCAAAGCATCTCATGCGTGCAGGACAAGGTGTAACTGGATCAATATTCTCAGCTCTTGTTCGTGTTTCTGCATTAGGCTTGAACTTATGTATTAAAGGCAGCAGAACATAACAACGCAGACATGGCTTTTTCGTTTTGCCCTGTCTGGTTGACTTTTTTTGTTCGTTGTCATGGATGCCGTTTTGAGTGCTTTTTCCCGGCAGACTGTTCGCGTGCGTGGCTCATGTATGGTGCCCGATCGGGTATGGGCCAGTCCGCTGCGAGCGAAAGCTGTGGACCACGTGGGATGCTTTCCTTGCCGCTTGTGACCTTCGCACCTCCAGGAAATGTTCGAAGATAAGTACAGACACTGCGAAGCAAGTGGCAACTGCAGACGTTGTGCATTTTCTTCTTGGCACCATTTCTGTTGCGCCTGTATCAACATCTTATGTTCCCCTATCGCGACGCCCATTGCTGACAAGGCCGCCGCTGTCTGATGCTGATGTGGAAGCTGCTGTGGGAGGTGGTAGCCGCGGCATGCTGGTGGCTCGCTGACAGGGCTTAGGATTTAGGGTTCAGGGTTCAGGGTTTAGGGGTAGGGTTTAGGGTTCAGGGTTCAGGGCTTGGGGTTTAGGTGAGAGCCAAACGGAAAATCAAGAGGAAGCTAGAGGCCTCTTAGGGATATATAGCAGTTTCTGGCATGGGCATCAGGACAGGATGAAGATTCTAACTTTTTGGAACACACAGCACACTTACTGGGGGCTGTTCAGGAATTGAAATTAAGCGACTAGAGTCAGGAAGCCCTAATTTGTACATATACCCATATTGTGGTAAATTCAAATTCCTGAACAGCAACCCAGCGTCTTGCGCAGGGATTTTTGCCCAGCTTCATTGCGCCAGCGGCGCTGCTGGTTGGCAGCCTTATCCTGCGCAGGGGACTCAAGAGCTTGTTTTTGTAGCTGGTCATAGTGTTACCCGTAGTAAGATTCATGATATGAATAGTAGTACTAGTCTTAGCATTAGTTGTCAGAATAGGAATATTAGTAACAACAGTAGTAGTAGTAGTAGTAGTAGTAGAAGTAGAAGTAGAAGTAGAAGAAGAAGAAACATGCGCTCAACGGCGAGGTCTTAGAGCCGATCCTGTAAATGATTTCTCCGCACCGGAGGCCCGCAGCAGCTTTTACAGGGTTGTTTCCAAGAATTTGGGGGGCCACAGAGAAAGACCCTCCCCCCCCCACTGTATTACGTTACTTGCCACAAGGACCCCAAAAGGGACCCCTGATTTTTGGAAAGCCCTATGTTCTTACTTCATCTACCAGCCCATTTCAGATTATGGAGGTGGCAGCTGCAGCCAAAGAGCTCCGTGATGCTAGCTCCTGAGAGCGCGGAAGTGATGTGAGCTAAAGTCTAAAACTACTTAGAGGGGGTTATATAGGGGACTGCTACAGGGCTTATGAAGGGGGGTACTAGGAGTGTAGTCTATGGCTCATGTAGGAATCGACGCAGTCAAATGAAGTAGATTTGCAAAGGACAGAGCTGGTCATGCCGTGCGCCTGAAGAGTGATGCAACCAAATCAGTGAGGAAGACTGGCTGCTCTTAAGGAACTCGCACTCATGTGAGCCATTGTCTAAACTCCTAGTATCCCCCTTAATAACCATTATAGTAGTCCCTTATATAATCCCCTATATAACCCCCCATTAAGGAGTTTGGAATGTAGCTCCTGTACCATTTGCGGTTTAGGGTTCAGGAAGCCAAGAACAGGATTAGTTTCCTAAGCGCAGTAACATATTTTGAGTTCCTGTATCATTACTTACTGGGGTTTATACGAAACAAGGGAATTATCTATGTATATATATACATATGTATATATACATAATTCCCTTATTCCGCCCCAGTAAGTAGAGGCCCTGAGTGCTGGCGACAATCCGCTGGGAGTTGCTGGACCTCAGCCTGAGTCTCAGCAGTTGGATACATCCACTCTAACATCTAAGTCCAATATTTTAGGTCATTCCCCCTTACAGTGACTGTTACCACAACAGATAATCGGGGTTATAATAACCACACATTAAAGCCCCACAGGGACAGTTACTGTAGGGGGGAAATGACCCAACCA